GTTGGTAAGTTTGGGATATGCTTGGAACTCTTACATTATAATCTTTCAGTCGGTTGAAGCATTATATGAGATATGGAGCAGTAAGAAAGATGAACTGTCATTTTGGTTTGATTGGGTGGCACCGCTTCTTGATGAAAATGGGATTCCAATGGCGTACTGCTTGGTTGATTTGTTTGGAGCTCCTCTTCTATGTTGTCAGGAATCCTTCTTACAGAGGTTAGTTGAAAGATGGGGAACGCTGGTGGATATCCTGGAGGCAATAATGAACATAGAGTATTTTTCGATAACAAGATTGTTTTAGAGTGGCAAGCCCGTTCGATGTTCCAAAGATGATCACGTTTGGAGCATATGGAAGATCTTTCAAAGTCAGAATCAGAATTGGGTCAGTTTTTCAGAAACAGTGTTATCTTCGAGAGAAAGAACAATATGGTTTTTTAGAGGATCACTTTACCAAGGAATCGTGGGAGGAGAACCTAGACAATGGAAGACATGCAGTGCTGGCTGAGGGAGAAGAAAATTCGAATGAAGAGTCCCAAAACAGGGTTATCGCGTGGCTAGAAGATGGGAGGATAACTGGTGTTTCAGAGGATAGCAGGAGATAGAAGTTATTATTGTTGGGTAAGGATAACGAGATAATTAATGGAGGGGGGACAGAGTGTCTTGAACATACAAAAGGTTTAATTGGGGATTATGTGGGCCTTGGGTTAAGGGAAAATGTGGATTTAGCCTGTAACGAGCAGGCTCAATCAGAAGAAGCGAGTGAGCCAAGGTCGCACGTTTCCAAAATTGTTCCTGCAGGGCTAGTAATTAAATTAGCCTATGGGGAGTTCAGAAACGAGGTTGGAGACATGGCCCAAATCCCTTTAGCGGTTGAGGGGGATGGGTTTGGCATAATGGAGGAGATTGATTTACTTCCTAAAAGCGGTGGAGCAGATGGGTTAAGAGAAAGCAGTGGGTCTCCACTCATGGAAAATTATAATACTTTGAGAAGAAATGAAGAGGATGGCAAGGTCAAAAAGAGGTTATTCGAAAGAGTCTACCGCAACTCAGGGGAAAATAGACAGATGCAGGTCAGAATAGTGAGACAATTCGGTGAGGTTTCAAGAAGCTAATGAGGAATTAAATACCACATGGGAGGTGAGTAAATTGCTGGGTATAACATTTCGTGGTGGGAAAAAAGCCTTTGCAAGGAAATTTGAAGAGACGAGTAAAAGCAAGGTTGTGGAAGGTGGGATTTGAGCCCCATCTTTGCAGGGGAAAGTCGAACCATTTATATATGTCAATTTTTTCATGTGTATCTTGGAATATCATGGGTTTGGGAAGGAAAGAGAAGGTAAGGACAGTGATGAGCTTGATTTTAAGGAGGAAACCAGTTATAGTGTTTCTGTAGGAGACGAAATTGGAGTCATCGAATCAGGCTTTATTGAGGAAGCTTGGTGGGAAAAAGTTGAAAGCGCTGGCTTCGTCCCCTTCAGAAGGGGCAGCGGGGGGCTTAATTAGTGTCTGGGATGAAAATTGGTTTGAGATAGAACAACAATTTATCTTCAAACGTTTCTTAGCATTTAAGGGAAAAATAAAGGATAATGGTGGGTATATACTATAAAGTCCCAGCTTGGATGTAAGCTCGTCAAAGTTGATTCTAGGAAGTATCTTGGTAAGCACATCGGCCAGCTGCTCATGAGTAGAAACAAAATTAAGCTTAACTGTTCCATTTGTTACCTTCTCAAAGGTAAAGAAATGACCTATCACTATATGCTTTATTCGGTCGTGCTGTACTAGATTCTTGGCAATGCAAATGGCAGATTGATTATCACAACTAAGATCAAAATCCTCACTGTGATTCATTTGAAGTTCTTTTAGCAACCGTTGAGCTCGAATATCTTCACAAATTCCTTGTGCCAAAAAGGACTTAAGTTCAAAATCCTCACTATGATTCATTTGAAGTTCTTTTAGCAACTGTTGAACTCGAATAGCTTCACAAATTCCTCATGCCAAAAAAGCCTTAAGTTTCTGTATTTTCAAGTAATCATCACCCGTGATGATTATATCATTAACATAAACAATCAAAATAGCCTTTTTATTTTCTGAAGAAGTTTTGGCAGACATAGTATGGTCAGATTGACATCCAAGATAGCCAAATTTCAGTATAGCTTTAGTAAACCTATCAAACCAAGCTCTAGGTGATTGTTTAAGGCCATATAGGGATTTCAGAAGCTTACATACCTTGCCTGGACTAGAGTTTGTGTTTAATCCAGGAGGTTGTTGCATATACCTCCTCTTAAGAAAGGCATTCTTAATGTCAAGTTGATGGAGAGGCCAGTCAAGATTTGCTACAAGTGATGACAAAATTCGCACTGTATTGAGCTTTGCCACTGGAGTAAATGTCTCCTAATAATCAATCCCATAAGATTGTGTGAAACCCCTTTCTACCAGACTAGCTTTGGACCTCTCAATGCTCCCATCTACATTATATTTCGCCGTGAAAACCCATTTATAACTCACTGCCTTTTTTTCTCGGAGGTAAGTCAGGTAAGACCAGGTCTTGTAATCTTCGAGTGCCTGAATTTCCTCTTCAACAGCCTTTTTCCACCTCGGATCCTTTAAAGCTTCATTTATAGATTTAGTAATATGCACTTGATTAAGTTTAGCAGTAAAGGCTTTGAATGAAAGCATCAATTTTCTATAGGCAACATATCGTTGTATAGGATAAGCAGTGCACTTTCGGACACCTTTTCTCTGAGCAATTGGTAGATTAGATGTATCAATTATAGGAGCCGTGTCAACACTTAACGAATTCACACCTTGCTCATCATGTAAAGGAATTGGAATCGGGGCCAATTCTTGAGCTGTCCTAACTGGTGTAGCAACACGTGGAAAAAGCCTTTTCCTCCTTGTATAGACTCTAAATTCCCTTTGTTCAAGTCGAGTTGCTGAAGGAGTGTTTTCAGGTGTAGGAGAATTTGGTTCAAGTTGGAGTACGGGTTGGGTTAATTGTGATATAGAAGCAGGGTCATCAAGAGGTAACTGTATTGTTTAAGGCTGAAATTCATCCCAACACCTCCCTTGAATTTTAGAAGCTTAGAAATAAGGCTGAAATTTGTGGAATGTAACATCCATAGAAATGTATAATTTTTTAGTGATAGGAGAATAGCATTTATAGCCCTTTTTAAGAGACAAATACCCTAAAAAATCACACTCGACAATCCTAGGATCGAACTTACCCCGAAATTGTCTATGGATGTGAACAAAGACAGAAGATCCAAAAATTTTATCGGTAATGTGGAAGCCATAGGTTTGAAAAAAGAAAACTGCTGGAGAAAGACATCTCTCGGTGTTTGGATGCCTATAACATGACTGAATAGGTGATTTATAAGATAGGTGGCAGTAAGTAAAGCTTCTCCCCAAAACGATTTTGGAACATTTGAAGAAAAAAAAGCAGAGAACGAGTCACCTTTAAAAGATGTTTGTTTTTTTTTGGCTCTGCAACTCCATTTTGTTGTGGAGTGTTCACACATGAACTAATATGGATAATGCCCTTTTCTGCAAAGAATGTACCCAAGGTATTTGTGAAATATTCAGTCCCGTTATCACTCCTTAGAATGTTAATTTTAGAAGAAAATTGGGTGTGAACTATCGTATAAAACGCCTTAAAAATACTCTGTTTCGGATTTTTGTTTCATTAAATATGTCCAAGTGGTCTAAGAATGGTCATCGATAAAAGAAATGAACCACCTAGCCCCAGAAATATTTTTAACCATAGATGGACCCAGATGTCACTATGGATAAGAGAGAACGATTGAGATGGTTTATATGAAGATGGAGGATAGGGATTCCGTTTATTTTTTGCCAACTCACATATGTCACAATGAAAAGAGGATGGATTTTTACTAAGAAATAATTTTGGAAACAATCGTTTTAGATAATGGAAACTAGGATGACAAGGCGAAAGTGCCATAACAGGATTTCATTTGAGTTTAAGCTAGACATAAGAGAAGAAAAACAAACATGATTGTTGGTGCAACTTGATAGAGCTTGTCTTTTAGGAGGAGATTGACCTTCAAGAATGTATAGTCCACCACACAGATCAACACTGTCAATCACCTTCTCCGAGTTCAGTTCCTGAAAAACACAACCAACAGAACTGAATTTAGTACGACAATGAAGATCAATGCACAACCGACTAACAAATAACAATTTGCTCTGAAGATTTGGAACATAGAGAACATTTTGAAGCATAAGACCACTGTTTACAAACATGGATCCAACACCCTGAACAGAAACTAAAGTTCCATCAGCAGTCTTCACATGTCTTTGAATGGTTGGCTGTGAAATCGTTAGAAACAGGCTGTGGTTTCCTGTCATATGATCAGTAGCACCAGAGTCGACTATCCATGAAAGTAGCGTAGAATTTGAGTGAAATGTGAAGTTACAAAAATATGTTGCAGATGCAGAATTGGTTTGGGTTGAAGAGTGTCCGCTGAATTAATTTTTTGAGATCCACAAGCTGCTGCGCATTGAAGCTGGCTGAATTTTCTGCGGTGGCTGAATTTTTTGCAGTGACAGCCATCGTGAAGGGTTTCTTCTTTTTTTTTAATTTGATTTAGGAACGTACCCTAGCTGATACCATGTAGTTTGAGGAAATAGAATTCTGATTTCTATTTCTAAACTGGGTTACAGAAAAAGAAGAGAGTCCCCATCCTTTTAATAAGAACCTCTTTTGTATAAGAAGTCTAACCTAATTCAATTTCTATTTAAAATTTAAATTAGAGATAAATTAGGAGATTTATCCTAAACTAACTAACAAATTATTTACAAATAATAAATAAATCTTATATACAATCTACAGCTACAATTCCTGGTTCTTCGCCTTTCTAATAAAAAAGTTCTTGTAATAACCTCAATTTTCTCTCTGATAATTGCCTATTCAGTTCGATGTCCTGTTAGCGAGGTAGATAGAAAACTAGCTACTTTATCATGCCATTGATCTTTCCATTGTGTAGATTGTCCCAGCTTGGTTAAGTTGCTTACCAATTAAAGGTGATCTGATCGAGGCCAAGCTTGTTCATGACCAGCTATGTTCCATGGTTGAAAGGTATACGATTATAGAGTTATTGGGACAGTCTGTGAAAAGTTTGTCTCTGATAATTTGTTTAATTCATTTTTCCTGATACTTCTCACTGCAATTTAAAAAAAAACAATTGCATCTGTTATCAGGTCTGATCAGGAACTTTTAGGGCCCAACAATCAATATCTTCCCAAGATTGTTTCTGTTTTCGCAGAGGTATCATCTTTACCATATTTCGACTGTTTGTTCCTTTTGTTCTAGGTTATCGTTTCCATCGTTGTTTATTTGTAAATTTATGATATATGTTCTATGTGCTGGTACCTTTTGCTCTAGGTTATCGTTTCCATCGTTGTTTATTTGTAAATTTATGATATAGGTTCTATGTGCTGGTAAAGATCTGGCAACTGAGCAAACTGCTAGTAGAATGATTAATCTGATACGACACTTCCAGCAATCATTACCCGCATCGACACTGGCATCAACCCGGTCATCGTTGCAGCCACAGCAGCAGCTTGCGTTGCAATCAATACTGTCATCTTAGTTATGGTGTCCTTGAGGAAAGCTTCTGCCTCTTGTATTCTTAGCCTTCTACAATTTCTGGGTAGGGTTTATTTTTGTTCCACCGTTATTTTAAATTTCATATGATAGACGGTAAAAGAGGGTTCTGTTGGTGAGTAATGTTTTCATCTACTGATTAGCATGTTCTTTAACTTCTCTGGCACCGTTTTTAGCCGATGAAGGTGCACTCAATTAATGGGATGATATGTTGATTATTGAAGGTTGAAGAATATAGCAAAGTTTTGGTATATAATGTGCATAATAGAATGTGCCGAAATTAGGAAGTGTGAGGTTCTGATAAGGGTATATTCTTGCCCCAGTTTTGGTGTGAAACTATTTTACAAGAAATATGAAACATGATTTCAGTAAACATTTTTTTTTCATATATTTCTGTTTTTTTAATTAGTTTTTAGTGATGTAAGAAGATAAAAACAAAGGGAGCTTGCATTGCATGATATTGATGGCATAAGGTGATGTTGATTAGTATTTTAATGAGTAGGTGCACATTCTGAGTTAAGTAGAGCAATGGGGTTTACCTTTTGGATTCTAGAGAATTATCTGTAACCCCTCCAAATGGCAAGCTTTGGGGCGCTCTTGATTTTTTATTTTTTTAATTGCGTCTTAAATTGACTTGAAACTCTCGGGAGATCAAGGGGGTAAGGCAATGACTAAGCAACAACCCCCTTTGCCCAAATTTTGAGGTTTTGTATGACCAAAAATATTCTTTGGTTGACAATTACATTATTGTCCTCAAAAAGGTTGACTTTGTCTTGTAATGAACATTGAAAAGAAAAAAAAAAGATTCTATTTTGTTTCAAAATCAGAATTTTGGAGATGGTTAAAAACAAGTGGATCATCTCAACGGATTTGTTAATTTTGATATACTTGCTTAACCATTTCAGAGTATTAAAATTAAAATTTAATGGATTAAGTTTTTTAAGATTTAAATAAATTGAAATAAGTTTGTTTATATAATTATTTAAAAGAATCATTTTTAAATGTTTAATCAACTTATGATATGAGCAAAATTTGGTTGAACCCAGCAGGGATAAGGTATTTTGCCGACTCTGACAAGCTTTTTCAATTTCTTATTGGTTTAATATTGCTCTATTAAAACCACAAGTTGTGGAAGGGGCAGGTAAGACATTGCAGTGAAAGTCAAAAGCAAGCATAAGTAGGCTGAATTAAGACAAACACAAGAAAACACTGTGGGATGGTTATCTAGATTTCTCATACAAATCTCAAACATATAAATCCCCTTTGTCCATTGACAATCAACCAAGTCGATGCCTTGTAAAATCTTTTGTTCTCTAAATCCCTGCTTATTGCCAATGGAAATACAGTTCCAACAACAGCAGCAGCCGCAGAGATCAAATAGCAAAGGAGGCAAACTCAAGGGAAGACATAAAAGCAACAATAAAGTTAACAAGTTTGTTGGTGTAAGACAAAGACCTTCTGGTAAATGGGTAGCTGAGATCAAAGACACAACAAAGAAGATCAGGATGTGGCTCGGCACCTTCGACACTGCTGAAGAAGCCGCTAGAGCTTACGATGAAGCCGCTTGCCTTCTACGCGGCTCCGATACTCGCACCAACTTTGTTACTAAGGTGTCGTTTGATTCTCCTCTTGCGTCTCGGATCCGGAATCTTCTTAACAGCAAAAAGGAAAGTAAGGAAATAAATGTTTTAGTCTCAGCTCCCACCCCAAGTTTTAGCCCCAGCAGTAGTATTACCACTACTAGTGGCGGTAGTTCTTCTAATTGCGATGGAGGCTTCAGTAATGAGAATTATTCTCCTATCGAAATCGTTCAAGATACTCAGCTCTTCGATGATGCATACAAACCTGACATGAGTAACTGCACAAGGGAATTCAAGTCTGCATTTTCTGAACCAGACTTTTCTTATACCAATGAATCAGGGTTTGATAGGTTTCTTTATACACAAGAAATCATGAATTTGCCCAAGAATGTTGTTTTGTCCGAGGAAACAGGTTCCGAGTTGACAGAATTCGAGAGGATGAAAGTCGAAAGGCAAATCTCAGCTTCACTTTATGCTATGAATGGACTGCAAGAGTGTATTGAAACTCTCCATGATCCTGCTGAAGCCTTGTGGGATCTTCCACCATTATGCTCTCTGTTTTCTTGAATTCTTGAAAATGATCTTCATTTTGATCTTTCCTTCCATTTCTTCTTGTTAAATCAAGAGAGTATAAGATTTAGGTTTAAATGCATGTTGTTGTAGGTTACAGAGACAAAAATAACAGGCAGAGATTAGAGATGATCTCCATTTTGTAAAATGTCAACTATTCCTTTGGAAAGTCTCATCCATCTCTCAATACAAAAATGTCCAAGCAATCATGCTGATTTAATTACGACTTCGTATCATTCATTTTTTTATGCCAAATGGGGTTAAGATATTTCAATCATGCTTATCAACCAGTGTATATCATAAATCATGCTATGCCCACTTCACTAAATCTGGTATAAAAATTCAGTGCCACCATAATGTGATGATCGGACGGTTTGTACAAGGTCCGGGAATGAGTTTACAGTCATATGGCTGACAGGCTATATTGGTCACGATTTGAGCTTCATGGAGGCAAGTCACAGCCTGCAATTCAAACTGAGGATGGGATTTTGGAGTTAGCTCACACCCTATGGGATTACAGCCCGGAGAATCGAGAATTTTCTGATAGTTGGGTGACTAATGATAACCTTGTTTTCATGTTTACTAAAATACATGCTTAGAAAAAAAAACCTTTATCGCAGTTTTGAGCTCTATTTTTCACTGTTGCAACTTGAATTATGGTCAAGCTGTTCATGTAGATGATAAGGATGTACCAAAGAGACCCAGACTGGCAAGGGAGGGTCATCAAGACATCAACTATTAAGATAGATGAAGATAAGGTTCTAGTTATAGTGTCATCTATTCTCTTTACAGAAATCATTGATGAGTTCCAATGGGACCTACTCACCAACCTAACACAATTTTGATTTTTGTATTCTAGATATTTTGTGGATGTTCATCTGCATGTTATATTTAGACACTTCAAGTTTATAAGAAAATCGATTGATTTCGTTGTTACTCGAGTCCGGGATGAGGTTAGGTGCGAGTATGTTTAATTTTACCGTGTCTTTTTCTTCATGGTTTTGGACTATACCCTGTATGAATGTCTGAGAATGTTTTGGAAATGAGTTCTTTAAGGAAAATGAATCAGTATTGTAAATTAACTTGATCGAATCATCGAACACCATGTTACGTCACAAGGTAGAAGCTTTTTATTCGACGTTGAGAGGTTACTATCTCAAGGTGCAGAGCCAGTAAAAACATGGAAAGACAAATTCAATAAATGAAGTACAGGGACTAGCTTACAACAGTAAAAATATAGCTGACGAAATGAAATGAGATTGAGGTACATCATTTGATGAAATATGGATCTAGTAATCTTCTGGTTCTTCTTCATCTTCACCACCTTCTGCCCCGACTTCCTCATAGTCTTTCTCGAGCGCAGCTAGATCTTTACGGGCTTCGGAGAATTCACCTTCCTTCATTCCTTCACCTACATACCTGTGAACAAACGCTCTCTTGGCATACATGAGATCAAACTTGTGGTCGATTCGGGAGAAAACCTCGGCCACGGCTGTGTTGTTGCTGATCATGCACACCGCACGTTGTACCTGAGCAAGATCACCTCACGGTACCACTGTGGGTGGCTGATAGTTGATACCACACTTGAAACCAGTAGGACACCTGAAAAAGAGATACACCAGAACCATTTAGAAGGCAAAATTCATGTTTTCCCCTTCAAACTGAATTGCAAGTGATGTCTACTAACCAGTCTACAAACTGAATCGTCCGCTTAGTTTTGATGGTGGCAACAGCAGCATTGACATCCTTCGGTACGACGTCTCCACGGTACATTAAACAGCACGCCATGTACTTGCCATGCCTTGGATCACATTTAGCCATCATGCTTGAGGGTTCAAAAACAGCACTTGTAATCTCAGGAACCGATAGCTGCTCATGGTAAGCCTTTGCAGCTGAGATTACAGGTGCATATGATGAGAGCATGAAATGAATACGAGGATACGGCACAAGGTTAGTCTGAAACTCTGTAACGTCCACGTTATGGCACCATCAAACCTCAATGAAGTGGTTAAAGAAGATATGATTTGCGATATCAAGGAGTTCAAGTTCGTATACGTCGGCCTTTCAATGTCTAAGGATCTCCTACATATATCATATATAGCTTCATTGTCAAGAAGCACTGCAACATCTGTGTGTTCAAGGAGAGAATGAGTCGAGAGCACGTTACTGTAAGGCTCAACGACAGCAGTTGAAATCTGTACGGTTCGGCATAATGATTCAAGCATAGGGAAAAACCAGGGCACTAGATTATCTCAAACAATTCCTTAAAGTATTCAGGGAATTACTTGAGGAGAAGGGTAGACGGTGAAGCCAAGTTTCGACTTCTTTCCGTAATCGACTGATAAGCGCTCCAAAAGCAATGAACCAAAACCAGAACCAGTTCCACCACCAACAGCATTAAACACCAAGAACCCTTGCAGACCAGTACAGTTATCAGCCAATTTTCTTATCGGCCGAGGCAGAAGTCCACAATCTCCCTACCAACTGCAGCAAACATCATCAACGACAAAGAAACTTAACGGAGCGAACAGATCTAATAAAATTGTCATCTAGGAATTGCAGAACAGATGGATGTACCTGTCTAATGTCCTCTAGCAAAGTTGTTAGCAGCATCTTCCTTGCCAGAAATAAGTTGCTCTGGATGACAGAGTTGTCTATAAGTCCCAGCTCAAACTTCATTAATGACAGTGGGTTCTAGATCGACAAATATAGCTCTCGGCACATGCTTCCCGGACCCGGTCTCGCTAAAGAAGGTATTGAAAGCATCATGGCAAACACCTACGGTGGTGTCACTGCAATCAAACACCAGAGATGCATTGAGAATCACTTTAAATGATATACCTTTACTTCAATTCATACCAAATATCCCATTGACATAATCATACCAAATATCATAAGGATGATGATGATGATGACATGAAAGATGCAAAACATACATATACATGAACTCACCTAGGCATCATGCCATTAGGTTGAATTCCATGTTCAAGGAAGTAAAGCTCCCAACAGGAATTCCTATATGAATGCTAATCACTTCTCTCATCTTCTTTTTTCTTTCAAAACAACCTTTCTATTTCTTCAACCTTTTTCTGTCTTATGAAGGAAGAATAATGGAAGAGAACGAAATGGGGTATTAAAGAATCTCGAAGAAGTATATTTAATTGAAAAAAAAGACATGAAATTATTGACGAGTTAGTTGGGGTCCCTCCATTTGTAGCCAACTGTGAACCAGTTTGGCTCCCTTGTCTCTTCTCTCATGCTCCAACTCTTTGGAATTGGACACCATTTTTATTTATTTCCTTTTCTTTTTCATGTTTATTAATAAAATATCTTCATATATATATATATATATATATATATATATATAAGCCTTGTATTATTTAATTTGGCTCATACACCTTTATAAACAGTGAAGGACAGAGAGATGATTCTTCAGCTTCTTGCAATTAAAATATTTGCATGGATATAATAATAACAATTGAGGGTAGTTGAACTTATTATCTTTTAGTTTACATATAAAACTATATTTTTTTTAGAATTAAAACTAAATTTTCAAGGGTTAATTTTGTTCATATAGTAATTTAAATAAATAATTTTATCTTAAATTTTAAATTATATAATAGTTTTAATTCTAAACTTATTTAATTATAGTAATTTAGTTTTTGTATCGGCGTTAAACGTTATAATACCAACATGATAGTTCACAATATTAGTGTGACAATTCACCTATGAATGATGCGTGATAAAGAATTTAATTGGTTTTTTAATCTTTAAGGAAAAAATAAGAATTTAAAAAAATTTAAATTTTTAAAAATATATAAAAATTTTAAATTTTAAAAAATATTAAAACGAAAAACTATTAAAAAAATTTAAAAAATTGGAGTATAAGTTAAATTTATTTTTAAAAATATTATACATTATAAAATTATATATTATAAATTATTAAAAAAAATATTTATAAAATATTGATATGAACAGTATAACGCATAAAGTTAATGGTAAATGGCGTAGCATTCAAAAGTTAAAAATATAAAGGTTTAATGTAAAAATAAGTGTCTAAATTATATCAAAGTTAATTTTAAGTATCTAAAGAATTTTTCCTAAAAATAAGTGTCTAATGTTTCCGACATTATACTTTTAGGTGTTTACCATTAAATTTGGACTTAAGTGACACGTGTCAGATTTATAAAAAAAAATTAAAAATTATGTAAAAATTATAAAAAAATTAACATGTACCACTCAAAGCTAAATTTAACGGTGTTAACGGTTTAAATACTTAAAAATATAGGGTAAATATATAAATAGTCCTTGAATTTTTAGGGCATTTGTATTTTGGTCACCCGACTTTTAAAACTTGCAATACAACCATTGAACTTTTAATCATTTTCAGTAAGGTCCCTGTAGTACTCACCCATTAGGTTTTGTTAATGTGACACTTATCTGCCGTTAACCCCTTTCTCCTTCTTCTTCTTCTTCTCTTCCTCCTCATCCACCTTCTTCTTCTTCGTCTTTATGGAGGAAGGACGACGACGAGGAGCCATGACTGACTGGTTTTGTTCAGAACGGTGTGAATACTTCAACGATGGTGGCAGTGTGGCGAACGGATAGCCTTATCGACCTGAAATAGATCGAAATAGAAAAGGGGATTTGAGGTTTTCTGACAAGATTCGAGACCTTCTCCATAGCGAATGTAGATGAGTCTCAATGAGTGGCTAGTGAGGTTTTGGTTGGAATGGGATGGCTCCTAATGGTACCGACTGTGACGATCATCGATGATTGGTGTTTGAACGGGTTTCTCGCAATTTGGGACAAATGGTGGATGGTGAGTATGAATCGAGGGTCGGTGTGTAGTCGGGAGGCAACGTCGGTAACGATGGTGATGGTGGTGTGACTCACCGCTAACTGGAGATGGGGTGATCAAAGGTGGGGTGAATGGGAGGAGAAGAAGAAAACAAAGAAGAAGACAGGGGGAGAGGGGTTAACGACAGTTAAGTGTCATGTCAGCAAATAGTTACGGTGACCGAAAGTTAAATGATAAAAATGCAAGCGCCTTAAATGTTCGAAGACTATGTATATGCGTTACCAAAAAATATATAATGTTGAAAACGTTAAACACTTATTTTAACTAAATATTTTTAGTTACTTAAAGTTAATTTATGTACAATTTGTACTGATTTTACGTTAAG